ACTGGCAGAATTGGGGGAGATCCAGGGGGTCTCTAGTGGGTGGGATGGTGGGCTCCCCAATGGCGGCTCCAGGCTGGCTGGCCTTAGGCCAGTGATGGCAAACTTTTAGAGACCATGTGTGCTGGGGCGATGGCGCGTGCCCACAGGGAGGACTCCGCGTGCCACCTCTGGCACACGTGCCATAGGTTCGCCACCACTGAACTAGTCTATTTACCTGAAGTACAAATGATCAGGCTCAAATTATAGCATTCTGCACACATTATGCAGACACAATGCAAGCCCCCTTGAAGAATCCAAAATGCTAGTAAAGGTGGAAAGGAAGAGAACAACCTGCGGCAATATGGATGGGTTTGATTGTAGTGGTAATAGATGCCCCACTGGGAAACTTGAAGAGTAAAGCTGGAAAATGGGTAAACCTGGCTAAGGTTTAACTCTATGGTCACTAAGAGTCAACACCAACTTGATGGCATATAATCAAACAAATGTATTAAACAAATAAACAACCCTGTACCTTTAATCTGGATAGAAGCACAATGTGCTGGTTAAAGATTATTCAATTTAAGTAGTCAGAAATATTTTGTTCAGTATTAACAAGTATCCATTAAAACAAAGAAATGCATATTACACCGTGCCTGCGAACATATGCTCTAAATGTATTGTGAAATCTTTCATAGATTTTTTTAAAATAATGGTTTAATAGCTAAAAATTGCTTATTAATGCTACATTTAAATACTTACAAATGCTACATTTAAATTTCTAACTACAATAGACACTCTATCACGTTTTAAGAGACTGTTTTAGATGTGGCTAAGCTAATGATTTGGAAGGATAGGAGGATGGCTGTAGTACATGAGGAACAACCAAACAGCTTGCCAAGTTATCAAATCTATTTTAATCATAGTTCAAACTGCTGACAGAAGACACAGAGTATCTAATATGATGAAGAAGCAGGAAGAGGACACAGGTAAAAAGCAGAGTTTCTTCGTAGAGGATAGTGCACCTGACAGGACGATGTTATCCTTCAAGAATTTCTCCCAAACAAAGGTGAATGGGACTTTTCATCAACCTCAAACCCTTATTCCAAAAGGTCAACTAACAAGAGAAAGTACATCTAATCTCAACCACAGATTAGATGGCCTAATCACAGCTTTCAACAATAACGTGGTTTAGTATTAGGCTCGCTCTCATATTGGTTAGAAGTATGAATAACAAAGATTTCAAAAGATAATAAGCCAAGAACTGCTCATTTTGAATAGGGCAGAGGGAGCAACTGCTCATCCTACTCTACCCTGATTTCACCCCCAACATCCTACACAACTCCAGTGTCCATAACTGCTATCAGGATGCCAATTTCCCCATCCTGTGACTTTGGAGATCCATGTAGAATATGAAGAGTGATTCCGACTACGCTCCAATCAAACTGCTTCTCATTAAGCCCACACAGAGAGAAAAGGCCACTAACCACCCAATCTCCTTATCTGACAAACAAACAGAAGATTATCAAGAGCCACAACATATCCCATTATAGGAACAGCTGCTCTCTCCAGGAGGCTCAATTTCTTTCTGATCACCATCAGAGCTTTTCCAGCAAGTTTGATTTATCAGAACAGCTGTAGGAAATGCAGACCCTTGATAAAAAAAAAAAATACAGAAGCAAATAAAAACAAATCTGCCAATTACTTCAGCTGGTGTGAATGTTTAACTTCCGCGTGAGACCACCTCCTTATCCATTCACAGCCACCCTCTGCATTCAAGTGAAATAGAATGAAGCTTCTTTCTAATGTGTGGCTAATGAAGAGACATGCAGTTAGAGTCATTATCCAAATAAACCTGGCTTAGCTTCTCCTATACAACTGCAAAAAAACTACAGCCATTCTTCTGCGCATATGCTGCAGAGAGGCACATGGCATTTATTTTCACTTCTATTCTAGGCAAGCAGCTCGTCTCAGTGAGTAAAAAAAGGATACAGAAAACACTGTAAATAAAGTCATAATGAAGAGATGCTGCAAAAATGGTAAAGTTTGTCAGTGCATTCCTCAGTCAGCAATCTCCTGATAGCGTTTACTTTACAGTCATACATTTATGCTTTATTAAAACAAAGGTAGCTAATTGCAGATATCATCACTGAAGGCCACACAGTTTGATTCTAAAAGCTTATTCCAAACATATGAACGAACACAATCATTGCTCCTAAGGTTCTGGTCTACAATTTCAATTCACTGAAGATTCAGCTATAGCCCCTTTTTCCAATGAGACTCATGGAATTGATTTTGAGCAAATCAAAGACTGTTACAACGGCACAAATCAACTTTGCTGCTAACTTACAAAGCCCCATATGATCACTGCCCAACTTCCCAAACATCTAAACACACAACAATAGCAAATCCCCATCACCCAAACAGCCTGAAACTTGCCTCTCCGCCGTGTCCATCAAATATCCCAAATATGGATGGATGAGTCTTGTTCACCAGATCCGTGATCACTTCAAACCTGTCTTCCATGTGGTCTCTCCGGCCTTGGATAGAATAAACAGCCACATTGTGGTTCTTAAATTCCCAGGTCTTGGAAAACTCTGCATCCAGCACATCCAGACCCCCAAGTTGGTCATTTTGCATAATTTCTGCTACCTTGCCTTTCACCATTTTCACTGCGTCCCTGCTGGACTTGACAATGGTTTTCACTTCATCCGTATGGAAGAAGTAGCTCCATAGGGCCAGGCTGATGCATAGCAGGAACAGCGTCTCTGGTCTCAGTAAGAAGTAACGCATGATCCGACCCAGCAAAGAGAGCAAAGTCATTGTATCCTCTATCATTTATTACAGAGGCAGTAGATCTCCCCTCCCACACACACCATATACCACACACCCTGATGGTTGGGATGGGTCTAAAGGCAAAGCAGCAAATCACTGCATGTTCCTGTAATGCAAACCCACGGAGGGCAGGGTTAGTGCTGCTAAAAGTGCCTCCTCTTTCTCCTCCGTTCTTCTGTGCAACTGCTTCAGGGCGCGTAGTCCCAGATGGCAAGAGTAGCTCCGATGTCAAGTTGCAGAGATCAGCATGCACGCTTGGGAGTCGGAAGGCACCTTTATCCTTCTCCACTTCTCACTCCTGCTGCTGCCAAAGAGCATGCAGCAGCTCCTGGAGAAACGACGGTGGGAGATCAGCTGCAAGACAGCAAAGGATCAGTGCAGGAGCTGCTAGAGGCACTACCAGCAGCACAAGACCTATCTGGGTCTGCCGCAGATCGTCCCTGTGCTGATTGTGGCCTTTTTCAGCCAGGACAGAGGCAAGAAGAAAAGAGCATTTGGCACAAGAGGACCCTCTTCCTCCCTCCCTTACTGTTTCCCTGGGCATTCGCTCTTGCTGCCCAAGGGCAGTCAATCAATTCATATTCCCCAACACAATTCCTACCCCCATTCTGGGTCCAGCAATAGCTCAGGGCAGTTGCTAGCCCAAAGGAGCAGGGCAGAGGGAAGGAGGACCCAAAGTCAAAAGCACAATACCGTGTAACTGTAGGATGAGAAAGGGGAACAATAGCAGCAATCGGTGTGGCGGCTTTTTAGAGGCAGGCAAGTTAGCCCCAATAGATCCAAGAAAAAAGGGAAGAGTAACCCAAGAGGGTTCAGGGAGATTGAGACAGCCGATAGAAATACAGTACAAAGGGATCGGTGGGTAGAGATGGACTATAGGGAGAAAGTGGGGTAGAACAACAACAACAATAAAAACCCAGGCTGACTCTACCATAAGGTATGTCCATCATGTCCCTGTTTCTAAAAAAAGGAACAAGACTCTAAAAACCAGGACAATCTTGGCTGACAGGCGATCCTTCGTAGACTCTTCTAAAGCGGCGCTTTTAACCGTTGCTGCTCAGCCTTTTCCTTCTAACATTCCATATACCTTGACTGGCAGCCCCCGGCTATGCCACCATCATCTTAAAGGATATCTCCAACTTTTAGGGAAGGTGACTCACTTTGGGAAAGAGCTCTGCACCGCGGGCACAGGCTGGGAACGTGGATCGGGGGATGAGGGAACACAAAGGGGGATGTTAGCGGCGTGGGCTTCCTCCGCCAGACCCCACCTGCCCTTCCGCTGCCGCTGTTCCTAACGGAGGAGTGCAGAGCAGTACACGCTAAAGCCACGCCGGCCCCTCCAAGAAAAGAAAGCAGCCCACCTCATGCTCCTTTCCCCCGTTGCTGCAAAAGGCTGATCGCTCACTTGCCCCAGCGGCAATCCGGGGCTGGCCAATCGGCGACTCGCTTCTCCACCTTGTGGCTTGCAGTGCACCCGCCGCCCTTGCCCGGGCCTCCTCTTTCTTCGACGTTGAATCTGCTTTCCCCCCCCCCCACTTCGCATGCCCTCCCCCGCCCCTTCCCTCGGCTGCTGTCACCTGCAGGGCCGATCGCAAAGTACCTGTCTCCCCTTTCTTCCCGAGCCTGTCCCTCCCACTGGGCTGGGTCGAGGGCTCCCGAGTTACCTCGCCGGGGACAGCGATGCCTACAAATCCCGGCAGCCTTAGCGCCAAGGCGCGCTTCCACGATTGGCAGGAACCCCGCTAAAGGCTTCTGGAGTCTGAAGTCCACGAGTTTTCACAGCCAGCCATGCTCTCTCGCGCCCTCTACCAATAAATATGATGCATCCATAAACGCACACAAATACCCATACGCGAGTCATGCTGTTCCCTTTTTTGGGTGAGTATTTAAGCAACACTAGCAAAGCACAGAACGGGAGTGAAATTACGCGTAAATTAACGACATGTAATAAAAAACGGAATGCAGAATAAAGAATACTAGTTTACCTTTCTTTTATTGGGTTTCTGTTTTTTTAACCGGTTAAAGAACTCAACATTGCCGTTTGTTCCCTATTTTTTTTCTTGGAAGAACTCTCCAACTCCCTCCAACCACGACCATCTCAATCTTTTTCTGTTATATTTAGTTTATTGTTTATTTATTTAGTAAATTTGTACACTACCTATCTCACTATTAAGCGAGCGTGGTTGTTTTCTTGCAGATGTTTCGTTACACAAACTAGGTAATGTCATCATTACTAGCCTGAAAACAACCAAGGTCAGATGGCACCACCAAGGACCTCTCATTTCAACCGTGAGCTATAAATATTCTTCTCTACCGGTAACATTATAATTTGCAATCATCCACTTCATTTTCTCAAAAAAAAAAAAAAAACTACTTGGGCTTTTGGTACTGATATGTTACTTTCCGGATCCATTCTCTTCTTGTATCATATAATCTATTTAATATTCACCAAAGTTGTGTACTACTGCATCTTGAAAAACATGGTGCTTTGGCAGAGATTGAATTGGATAGATTCTATTACCTCCAGGCTCTAATGAAAGTTTTGTTTGCCTGTTTGTATTCTGTTTTCCTTTTGCCATGGGGCTTTAGACAAACAATCTGAAATATATTATTCTTACAAATCTAGTGATAAGATCTATTAGATGTGCCCTATTCTATAGTGGCATGTAGCCTAAAGTGGAAAAGAAGTTACTGAGCTGACATTAAAGGTTAATGTCTTCCAAGTCAAGCTTGATTTTTGGTGTTTTCATGGACAATCTTTGTAGTTTTCTTATTAACAGTACAAAATGGTTTGCCACTGCCTCCTTCTGGATTGTTTTTTCCCCAAATTTCTAACTGTAGTTACATCAATACAGATGATTGTGCTGGATTTCCTGGAGAAGATTGCTTGACATCTGGATTATACATGGAAGGATTTATACACATGAATATAAAATAGTGGACAAAGTTATTGACTGATTTGAACAGAAATGAGCTGTAGTGAGGACTGTAGTTATGGATTTGACTTGGAGGTGGTCAAATCAAGTAGATTATTCCTCTTTGGGTGCAAATCATTATAGGCATCTGATGGATAGGATGGTTGCTTACAACCTCTCTTGAGTTGCATTCTAGCTGAATAGGGGGGCTGAGAGAGGAGTTCTGTTATCTCTGATTGTCCAAGCTTTTCACAGGCTTTACAAGGGTGAATGAAGCTCCTTTAGATTGTTGGATGGTTCTTTTTTCCTGGTTTTGTCATTTGCCTCTGCCTTTCCTCCTGAAGAAATTGCCCAGGGTTATATAAGATGGGCAATCGTATAAATATTGATAGTTAAGTAATTAAATAAAATCATTGCTAGATCCAAAGGTATTGGATAATTTCCAACCATTTGCTAACCTCCCCCTTTGGGCGAAAGTTGTGGAGAAAGTATTGCCCTGGTTCTCCATCTTTCTCTGCGGATCAGTTGGAGTTAGCCTCACTAGGTAGACCAGACCAAAAATTAACTCCACAGAAAGATTAGAACTTTATTGACATAGGCTGTAATAAAAGAAACTTGCAAGTCTGGTTGTACTTTACCTCCCTTCTTTTTTATTATCTAAGTGAATCAGGGAGGTGTTGCCTGAGCTGCTTTCAAATATTATCTTGTTCCTAACACTTTCAGCTCTCTGTTCCTAGGTAATCTTTGTTGCATATTTCTGACACAATCACCTTCTGCATGTAGTGGTGGGAGAGATTGAGCCAAAGGCTTGATACATTCTCCACTCCTATTTAACCTCTCTACAATGCCATTGGCAAAGTAATCTTCATCTGCCAGAAGAATGCAGCTGGAAACAAAATGCTCAGGATCCAGAGGTAAAGAATATGCCCATAGCAGTCTCCAAGGGCAAAAGAAGCTGGGCAGAATCCTGCCTCTGACTGCATCAGCAGCAGCACAATTGTGAAGGTGTCATAGAACCTTTGAATGGCCAGACGTGTATCGGAAGAAAAGGCAAAATGCTACTTCAAGACTGCAACAGCTAAATTCAACTATATTCTGCCTTTGCCACATCTGTTCTTCTCTCCAAGATTATCTCTGTGGTTCTCTGTGGTTACTGCACTGCAGTAATTCAGATGGCTAATAGGTACTCTTATCTTGATCAAAAGTGGCACAGATGAACCGCATTGCACAGCTAGTGCTAAAAGATAAAGCAAAATATCACTTTTGAACTGGAGCAGGTAAACAGAGGATGACTTAACAGTGATATAATCCATTTAGTCTTCTAACTACAATTGCTGAATTATTCTTGATCTGTGGCTAATGGTCCATGTGGATTAATTCCTAGTCTTCTTCTGTAACACTAGGAAGGAAAATGAGCAAAGGCACTATGGAAGTTTAATGTAATATAGGTAGTGCTCGAGTTATGGCCACAGTTGAGCCCAAAATTTATGTTGCTAAGTGAAACATTTGTTAAGTGAGTTTTGCCCCATTTTACGATCTTTCTTGCCACAGTTGTTAACCAAATCACTGCAGTTGTTAATGTTAGTAACATGGTTGTTAAGTGAATCTGGCTTCTCCATTGACTTTGCTTGTCAGAAGATTGCAAAAGATGATCACATGACCCTGAGACATTGCAACCACAGAGATGCTGCAACAGTCATAAGTGTGAAAAATGCTCATAAGTCATTTTTTTCAGTGTTGTTGTAACTTTGAACAGTCACTAAATGAACTGTTGTAAGTTGAGGACTACCTGTGGTCCTTAAATATACTCTTTCAGTGCTTCCCAAGGACCTGCTGGTGGTCTACAAAGTACAGGTAATTTTTGATTTACAACCATTCATTTTCTAAGGTCATTGTACAAAATTACAATGACCTTAGCAAAAGTGACTTACAACCTGTACTCACACTTATGACTATTACATCTCCCTTATTGCACCAGCCCCTTGATCACAATTTGTATACTTGGCAATCAGCTCATATTTACAACCCATCCTGTTGTCATGTGACACCTTTCTTACTGATTTCCAGTGAAAAACATACATTGGGGAAGTGGATTCACTTAATGACATACAATTTGCTTAATGACCATCATAAAAAATTGTAAAATGGGTCCAACTCATCTTATGATAGTGAAAATGCCGGTCCCAGTTGTGATCCAAAGTTGAGGACTACCTGTACTGCAATACAAGTGTAAATCAAATTTCCACAATGCTGATGTTTCTCCTCAAAATCTAAAAAGAATTCAAGTGAGAACACCAAAAAGTTCTTGAACCATCCAAGTCATCCAAGATATTAGCCTTTTTTTAAAAAAGCCCTTTAATTTGGGGGTCTGTGGATACAATGAAGATGCACATTCCATGTTGCCTACAGGCTCCACTCTGCTGAGACCTGGCCTATGTGGCAATCCACATTACGAAAACAGCTGGGAATTGGTCTACACACCTATACTTGACTTTGGCATGAAGAAAAACCAGCACTAACTTTCTAAATACATAAAATTAAATGGTAAACCATAGTGTGGAAAAGCAAATCATCAACATGTTGTACAGCATTTGGTTTTTAAAAAGCAGTCTTGGATATTTTCTCTTTATGAAGAAGCAGTTTATTTCCATATTCTGGATTGATGCTGGATATTGTGCAGAGTAAATTTTATTGAACTGTTTATTTTATTACTGTTCTGTTTAGTCATATATAAGGTATCTGCATCTCTTACAGCAAGATTTCTCCCAGAATGATTGTATTTGTTTGCTTATACTTTTAAAAATAGCTACTGCCTTTGTGGCTACTCTTGGAAATATATAACTGAGTTAAGGTCTATATTCAACAGAACCGTTAATCAAACCCATTCTAAACATAGAGAGCAATGTCCAGAACTGCTAAGCAATTCATTATTTACGCATTCTCTATTGCAGTAAAATATCTACAGTACTCATGCAGTATTGTGAGGCTGCCTCTAAAGGGAAGGAAGAATTCAAGGAGGAAGTTATGTGAATCATGTTTTCTGTGGAAAATTTTGTCGGTCTGGGTAGTTTACATTTCTGATCCTTGTGGACAAAGTGACTAAAATTCAAGGTAGCATTTTCATATGTTTCAGGGCTGGACAAGATGATTTTGCCTTATCAGAGAGTCCATTCCAATTCTGGAACTTTTCAGTTCAGGATTTATTTTTAATCTAGTTAATGTTAAGCAATATCTGTTAAATGTCTCAGTCATCCAGGTCATGGTTGTCCCAAAGGTGCTTTTTTCATGAGGTAACTGGACTTTCTTGTTTTTCTTTGAAGACATTTCACTTCTCATCCAAGAGCTGAAGAAGCTTCTTGGATTCAAAGTGAAACATCTTCAAAGAAAAACAAGAAAGTCCAGTTGCCTCATGAAAAAAGCACCTTTGGGACAATATCTGTTAAATGCTGAGAAACCAAAAACAAAACCAATGATAACTGGTGGTATGTTTTAGTATGTTTAGCATAGCCCAAGAAGGCATAGATGATGACTACAGAAGACTAATCAATCTATCACAG